TGTTCGAAAATATTCTAAATTTAAAACGCGGTTAGGTGGCCAAGGTGAAGGTTACCAATCAACCTCAGTTATGAGGAGCTAGTATGACTGATTGTAGTTGGTGTAGCTATGTAATGACTTATTTAGTTCTGCACTTGCTGACTTCAGAGGAAATTAGGAGAGTGAGCTTGCACCGTCTTCATTTATTGGTTCGTGAGGTTTCATTTCTGTGATAGCTCATGTAAATGTTCTTCTAGATGCTCCCGCATGACACACGGGGTGTTTGTGATCGAAAACTTTGAAGACCTTCCCGTTGACGGCTCAGTTTGAGGCTTCCAGTGAAAGGTTTTTAGTGTCACGAGGTTCGGTTTGGCAGGTTTTGTGCATTGTTTCTACTTCCTCTTCTCGAGCATTCAATTAGGCGAGGACAATAATATCGTCATCACTTCACTACTCCGTTAGCTTCGCGCTTTCGTTGAATTATGAACTGAAATCTGTAATATAATATGCTTTCATGTTTTTATCTTTTTTGTCATAAAATCATATTCTAAGTTTATTTGTTTTTACTTGTAAACCTAAAACATTTTTATTTTATATGAAATATTTACATTCTTAACAAAAAAAAAAAAAATCAACCTCAGTTGGCTTCCAACTATGCTTTAACTTTCAACCGTATGTTTCAATCGTTTTTTTTAATCATTCGTTTCATTTGCCCGTTCGGTTGTTAACTTAAAAAGTGGTTTGTGGTTCGCATCAAAACCATATTGAAATTGTTTTGTATTTTTTTCAACCAAATTATAACATATTAGAAAAACAACTTCATTTATGACAATTCCTTTTAAAGGAGAAATGCTTACAAAATTTTAAAAAGAAAAACATAACGAGAGGACCTAGCCAAGGAGTACGCTTTTGAATGTGGACGAGGGATAAAAAAAAAAGAATCTTGAAAAATTCTCTCTAAATGCACTAAACTCTTCTAGAAGATTTGTAAAATTTGGGTCAATGTTTCGAATTTTTTTGTAATTGTCACTAATTTCGCACAATCCTTCTCAAAAATTTTACAATCTAAACCTTTGAGTATAATTGGTGTCATTGCTCAGAGGAGAGCTTTCATCTATTTTGTATTATTATAACTATTATTTTGTAATTTCTTACACATTCTAACATAAGAAATATAATTAATTTATTAATAAAACACCGTTTTTCAAATAAGGCATAATTACATTCTTTTAAAAAGTAGATAAATTATATTTTAAAATAATAATTCAAAATGCAAATGACAATTTAGATAAAACGAAAAAACAATGATTTTAAAATGATATACTTATTTGACAAAAAAAAATGATATACTTCTTACAAAATGAAAATAAGAGAAAAATAAAAATAAATTTTGAGAACTGCCACTTTTGAAGTGTCACTTTTCAAAAATGCCATTATTTCAAAATCTTTGCAAAAATACCACTTTTTCAAAATTATTTACTCATTATGTCATTTATGTTTAGGCTAACTATGTTGTATTAAGGTTTAGTTTTGAGGATTTATGGTTTGATAGGGGTCAAAACATTTTTTTGGATTTAGAATTTTAAGATTTAAATTTTTAAAAAATTCATAATTAGTGGTATTTTTGTAAATAGACAACTAAAAGTAGTATTTTTGAAAATATGCATATTAAAATATGATATTTTTACAATGGTCTCAAAAATAAAAGTATTTTCCACGGCATACTTGAAACAATTGCTTTATCCTCTTTGACCTCACAAGTTTACGAACTTGTAGTCTTCTATCGATATCATAAAATTGATGTGTGGCAAAACTATCATCAGCATAGAAACTAGTGAACCTCCATGTTTACATCTCCCAAACTCCAAAGTCAACTTTGACTATACAACACATACACCGAC